TCTGAATTATTTGTTTGTTTCAGAGAAGCACATTGACATATAATATTAGTCTTTTAGTGCAGGGGAAATGTAAGAAAAATCAATTGAAACAACAGAGGGAAAGCAAAGAAGTAGGACATATCAGTGGCACCTTCCAACCTTCTGCATGAAATGACCTAAACAAGCCTGTGTGAAAGAAGAAATATCAGCCTCTTAAGCTTCTGTAGACTTAAAAAAGATACCCCTCTGGGACCTCTGGGAGAACGTTGTGGTTCCTAAGGCCGAATCTGTTGTAGTTTAGCTAGTGCACAGACAAGACGTCATGAGAAACATAATTACCTAGTTTGTCCGCTTGTTAGTTTGAGTAAAGCGAAGTGCACCAACACAATAATCGTCATTTAAAGCTAAGAAAAAAATAAGACAGACAGATAGACAGCCAGATAGGCAGAAATAACAGAAGGAAAAGCAAAGAAAGAGAACCTACCAGAGCGTATTCCAACCACCCGCAAACACATCTGGATGTGTCTAAATCGCGTCTGGTGAGTGTTCGTAAGTCAGGTACGAAAATAAAAACCGTGAACATTTCCAGCACAGAGAAAATGTACAGACGGGACTAAAAATTTACGGATCATATTACCGTTTACTTCAGAACCTTGTATCAAGACTAAAAACAAGTCTGATTATGATAACGATGCAGGAAACCGGCACCTATCGTTTGGACGTAATGAGAGCGCAACAAAGTAACACAGGCAGGCAGATCACGAATTGTGGATTATATAACAGAGGTGGATCGAATTGCAAGTTTATCTATGATGTTGTTGTTGCCCACAATCTGGATTATGTAGGAGGAAGGATTTTGATCCTCCCTGTCAGGGCCAACTCAAAATGAGAGGGATGCAGCATACCAGCAAAAAGACCGATATAGACGATTAAAATCATCCTCACTCGGGTCTCTTATGTGCCATAGCAAAGCGCCTTACCACCACACCACAGAAGTCATTGTTTGGCCCTCTCGTTGGACGAAATGGTCATGAACCTATCAGGTTATTCAAGACCTCTGAAATTCAACATCTGTCTCCGATACCTGGATACCTGGAGGTGTCATCTCTGACACAGAGTTTGACGTGTAATGACCCTATATCCTTCACAGTCGCCAGCTGCTGTTGCACACTCTGCTATTCCAGGCCAGTCCATATTTTTAGTTTGCCCATCCATGTTACTCTTTGTCTTCGCCTGGCTTTCCTGCCTCACATCCTTCCTTTTTCAAGAACCCCTTTCACAATGGTCCAGTGTCGTCTTAAGAGGCCAAATTATTGTTTTGTTGTTGTTTTTTAAATTTACTTTTTTAAAAATTCAGCAGGGCTCTTTTGACTTGCGTGGAGAATCTGACACACTGTCTCCGACTGAACCCAGCAAAACCGGTAGAAAGCTTTAAAAAGTCCCTAAAACAACCCTAGTTCAGAGCGACACGTTGGGGATTTGAAAAATGGCCATCCGTTCCGCAATCCACCAAGCTCAGGCAAAAGTGCTCCCTAACTTATTTCCCTAAACACACATACACTGCTGAAACGGTGGCGAGATAGATATACAGACAGACAGACAGACAGACAGACAGACAGACAGACAGACAGACAGACAGACAGACAGACAGACAGACAGACAGACAGAG